GATTCTTGACTTTGGCCTAGCGAGGCAGGCTGATGCAGAAATGACTGGCTATGTCGTGACGCGCTGGTACAGAGCGCCCGAGGTCATCCTCAATTGGATGCACTACACACAAACTGGTAAACTCTCATTCTTTACATTTTGTGTCAGCTGGAATGCAGAAACAGGCACACAGACCTGTTTCTTAACCCAGGTTCAATGGGAAAGCTGATGTTTGCTTTCATTTGCAGTGGACATCTGGTCGGCAGGTTGTATTATGGCAGAGATGCTGCTGGGAAAGCCGCTGTTCAAAGGAAATGATCGTATCCTTAAGTCTCATCAACTCTGGCTTGGTTTTTGTCTTGTGTCTGACCTGCAAGATGTCTTAACTGTCTTATAATGTGTCAACATCACAAAAAATGTTCTGCTTCGGGTGAGACCTGTTATACCAAAAATGTTTCAGATCCTGTCATCTGTCCTTCCAAACTAACCAATAAAATCCTTCCTTAGTAAAGACAAATATAAATAATCTAATTGCCAATTTTCCTGTTTCTACTGTCAGTACGTGTTGATCGCGCTAGCAGTATAAGCTGAATAGAAAGCTTGTGTTTAAAAGGTAAAAATCCTGCAACAGATGATTCTTGACCATAGCTTCTGCCAGATCTGGACCAGCTCAGAGAAATCATGAAAATTACAGGAACCCCATCTGCTGACTTTGTTGTGAAGCTACAGAGCCAAGATGTAAGTAGTACCCTGGGGTTAGACTCGCATATTAAACACTACATGCAAACTCTCTGTGAAACACTCACTGGCTGTAAAGTTGAAAGGTGGCTGTAAAAAGTGTGTAGTTTGCTCCCTCCAACCTCAAAGAGAACAGCGGATGTGGTCAGTTAGTCATTGCAATGCATTCTAAGAATGAGTTTAACAGACTTTTCATGGTTTACGTCTTACAAAGGAGTATCAGAATGACCAGAAACCTCTTCAAACTATCCCTGCACTGCAACGCTCCATTCCTATTTGCTTAATATGTTTGAACCCCCCTTATTTTCACCAAAATACACGGATTTGGTAGAAATAAAGATTGGTATGGAAATAAAGTGAGCCAGGTGTGATGAAGAAGTTTCGGAGACTGAGGAAGACTTACGTAGCATGGTTTAATGAGACTTGGCTGAGCAGATACAGTGCAGCATACAAGAACACATGCAATGCCAACACCAAATCTGAAGGGTACTTCCTATCTGGGGATATGTATCTTTCCTAGACCTACAGTGTCCAAATAAGGTTATTGTTTACCCTCTATGCATGTGTGAACGCAGCTGCGTCAGTCTTTGGAAGAGTCATTGGCAGTTGCCTTTGGCTTACTTTAGCTCAGCAATTAGGGTTTCATCATTTGTTTGTCAGTACAGAGTTTCAGTTTCTCATAACGGTATGAAATCTGAGAATTTTAACTTTAAAATGGTCAACCTAAAGACATATCAGGACAAAATTTTGTCTGTACCTGACTTCTCTCTATTTTATGAAAATCCAACACACCAAACATTGTCATTCCTTTCTCTACTATCTCTCTTGACAGGCCAAAAACTACATCAGAAGTCTACCAAAAGTGCCAAAAAAAGATTTGCACTCTATTTTCTCCAAAGCCAGCTCAAATGGTACGTAAATATCTCTCTGTACTCCAGTTTACCTTGGTGTTGGTGCACTAAACTCATGCTAACCTTGACATGTATATCTGCAACACAGCAGTGTGTGTCTTGGAAAAGATGCTTCTTCTGGACCCTGAGCTGAGGGTGAGCGCCTCAGAGGCGCTCGACCTGCCTTTCTTCAGCGAGTTCAGAGATGCAGAGGAGGAGCCTGAGGCGCTGCCTTATGATCAGACTATGGACAACAAAGACCTGCAGCTGGACCAGTGGAAACGTAAGAGAGAAGAGGCAAATTTAGCTTTGAAGCTGCATTCATCAATATTTATACGTCAACAATGGGTCAAGAAACTGTGTGTAATATGAAAGGTGTCGCTCCTAGTGCTGGACCCACAGAAAATTCTGCAGAAAAGCCTGCAACTGTATTGTTTTGGTTTACTCTCACTACCTTATCTTATTTTCAGTCACAGCGATCTGATAAACCCATTGAACTACAAGGCCAGCTATCTTACCACTATCAAACAGCATAAAGCCAGTGTTAGAGGGATTTCATTGCGAAACAGACAGAAATTTCCTTTAGGAGTCAGTGGAGACGAAAAACACAGCTAAAAAGAGAGAATATGAGGTCACTTGAAACACAACTTCAAATCACTGCTAATGTTGATTATCAACTTTATATGGCGACAATGTGTCAGTGCTGCGTTTACCGCTTGTTGGGCTGCCCCAATGCATTATTGTCCTTCTAGGGACATTTGGTTTTGTTCATTTGCGGGCCAGTCAAAGTCAGATGGACAGGAGGGGGGAGAGTCGTGTTGCAGGAAATTCTTTCAGTGTTGTTACAGTACCTACGGTTTGCCAGAGGAGGTCACTGAAGATCTTAGATCAGAGTGAGGCTTTTTTTAACATGTCATGTAAAAACTGTAACAAAATACAGTTTCGTTAGAGAAAATGTGAAGGTAGGACATAGACATGATTTAGAATGGCTGATGCATAGTAATCTATTTTGTGCTTGTGCAGGTCACACTTTCACTGAGATACTGACCTTCAGGCCGCCGAGGGACTCCAGAGAGACGTCACTATAAGAGCACGCGCATACATACACTGTGCACACGCACTTCTGCACAAACAAATTCTTACACACCTGCACCCAGAAACTGAATTATTTTCTTGTTGACTTTTTTGTGTTTTTGTAGGAGTAATGGATATTATTCGTTTGTTTAAGTGTTTACTTTGAATAAATGTTATTTGCTCAATTGTTAAGAGGCTCAGTTGTTATTTAAGTGTGCCAAATTATTTAGTCCATCATCCACATATGATGTGGACAACATGTTTAAATTTATGTTAACTGCCACTGCTTCCTTAAAGTCAGTCTATTCATTACATTACAGATTTTTTTATCTGTTTGCATTTTGATCATTTATTCTGATAATGGACATATTTCTGGAGCTAAGGGCGAGGTCACCTATTATACAGTACCATGGTGAATGCTGGTAAGGCAGGCGTGAATAATATTGTCACGCATAACATATTAATCACTGCAGGTCTCGTAAATAATTTGTGTTTTTCAACATGAAATCCAAATATGTTAGGGACGTATCCTCTTTTACAGTGATCAGACCTGTGACACATCCCTATTTTACCCAGTCTACAAACCAGTACATCCATCCTACAAGCTCCAAAACCCTCCCTTAAATTTGCTCTAAGCCAGAAGCCCAAAGAAGGGATCACTACTGCTCTGTAATCCTCCACTCTTATAACTGAGCTTTTCCATGAAATCCCATCTCATCTTGAAACCTAAGACAAGCAAATATATCTAAATTGATGATTTGTTGCTGAAGAAAATCTGCAAAAAGTAACTCAGGGTGAAACCTTTTTATAACCAATATAATACCACATTTTACTGACTTTGATCTGCCTTCAATTAAAAGCGAGGCAGGTGTGTTTCGTCTCAGCTCTCTTCGATAAGGACTGTTTGCCTGCTGACGTTGGCTGACTGACTATGCAGTGCCAGTTGTCTATTTCCTGGTGGCTGTACACTTCAGAGTCTTATAGGACAATGGATAATACATACGTATCCAAACAAAACAGAGGACACTCACATTTTAGGAGACTTTTGTTGATGCTGTTTCTGGCAGGTAATACAAATATTTTCCTTTTGACAAAAATACAATTGGCGGAGTCAGTTTTTAGTTGTGATAATGTAGTCCTTTGGCACAGTGTGAGAGCTCCCATACGGATGTATGTATTTATTTCCATTTAAAATGATTTTATGCTGTACTTTTTACCCCACTACATATTTTTAAAAGCTATAATTAATATTGACTTTATAGATTAAGATTTTGCAAATAGAATAAACTACACACTATAAAAACTACACACTATAAAAAGACAAAAACTGCTACAACAGTTAAATGTTTCTTATAATCCGTCAGTAAGTAACTAAGTATGTTTTGATGATAATGCTTTTGTATACTTTAATGTAAGATGTCATGTGATATTTTTACATTATTGTATTGCATCTAATATGTATTGCAAACCTATGTAACATTTGCTAAACAGTAGCCAGTTATAGGATAATGGTAATATGTATGTGTAGAATAAATATAGAAGAGTTATAAAGTAAGAAAACTGACTCATTAAGGTCAGCTACACTGCATGTACATTTTGCTAACATTAGCTAACATTAGTCAAAATAAGCGGCTGTCAAAGCCAGACCAAGTAAGGCTATGACCTGAGTTTATAAAACTGAGCAAAAATGTGTTTTATTGCTTATTAATTTAACTTTTCATTTGTTATATCTTATTTTAAAACATTCATAGCATAGCTTTAAGTAAATGATGTGATAATTATTCCACCCTGCTGAATTATATAATTCGCCCAGTAGTTAGTGAGATAGATTTGTTGACCTGCAAGCATAGTAAATTCTTTTATCCACAGCATTTCATGACTTTGCATCAATGTTAGCTTAAACATTAAACATCAAAGTTCATTTTTGATCTTGGAAATAAAAGTTTGAAAAGAAAATCCCAACTGAAGGTCAATTTAGTAGCTTTCAACAGTTGCTAACAACGCATGAACAAACTCCACTGACAAAGACTATGTGATACATTGAAAGCTCTGAAAAAAGTTAGAAGTTTACTCATTTGGCAGTTTGGCTGCATTCATCATTCACACGATGAGCCTAAGTGCTCAAACAGAAACTAATATTCACACACACATCCAAGTACTGGCCGCCAGGCGCGATTCGGGGTTCAGAATCTTGCCTAAGGACACTTCATGCAGCCTGGAAGAACTGGGATTTAACCGCCGCCCTTTTGATTGACGGGCAACCTGCTCCACCTCCTGAGCCACAGTCCCTCCACAGCAAGTTACCTTCTTAATACCACATGCTGTTAATTAACAATGATGTATGTTTTTATTGACTGTATAGGCCTTCAGCCAATACTGTCTACAGATGGAGAGAACCCTGAACTAGATGACAATAGTAAGGGTAAGTGATTTTACATTCAAATAAACAACAAAACCTATATTATGTGCTATCTGTATCACCTTAGACATCAAGATACTATAAAAATATATTGGTATGATGACTGTAAAGAAATGCAAGCAATGAATTATAGTAGTAATTGTCTGCTGACTTTTTCAGAACGACTGAAAATCAAGTGTATGATTGTCAGTCCGGACTACGTGACTGTGGGTGTACCAAGCAGCATTGAGTGTGATTGCAACTGCCTTGAATGTACTTATACTATGTCTTTGGATGGACAGAGTGCCCAGGGTCAGGGCAATGCGCTAGCCTTCACTGTTAACAGTTGGGTGGAGGCCTTAACAGTGACATGTACATCCACAAACGACAATACAAAGCTGACTGCCACCACTACAAAACAACTGCAAGTGTTAGGTAAGTGATAGCCGATTTTTCTTTTTTTAAATTAGATCTTAGCATTGGTGTATAAAACATTCTGTACCGTACCTTTCAGAATAACTGGCCTATATTCACAGCTTCTGTGCTTTGTGAACGTCTTTCTCTTCTAATGACTCATATGTTTGTCTTTCTCACCTTAGCTGGACCTACCAACGTTTCCATCACAGGCCCTGATTTGATCAACACAACAGTGAGCCACACCTACAGTTGTCACGCCTACTGTCGGCCATCTTGTACCTATGCCTGGAAGACAGATACGAGCCCATGGATTGGTGGTCAAGGGAATGTTATTTCTATCACTCCTCAGGAGATGGACACGTCCAAGCGTCTCATCTGTAAAGCCACCAACAGTGTGTCTAGGCTGTTTGTCACTGCAACTTTAAACATAGCTATAATGTGTAAGTCAAAAGTTTCACTTGATTTACTACTGGGGCAAAAGACTATACACCTGATAAGAACACCTTTACAGTAAAATTATTTTATTAATTAAAGAGGGGCCTGGATTCCTGCATGTTATCTTCCAGTTTTAAGCATTAAAGAAATAGTTCGATATTTGGGGAAATACACCTTCTTGGCATGAATTACATGAGAAGATTGATACCAGTCATGTTTATTTAAATTTGTAGCTACAGTCAGGACATGGCTAGCTTAGCTTAGCTTAATGACTAGAAACAAGGAGAAATAGGTGCTTCTGTGCAAAGGTATCAAAATCCACCTAACAGCACCTTCAAAGCGTAGTAATTGACATGTTATATCTTGTTTTTTCTGTACAAAACCCCAAGTGTAAAAAAGACGTTATATTTTTACGGGGGGTTATCTCCCGGACTATTTCTTGGCTTTGAGCACTGACTTCCTGGAGTTGGGCTGGTTGGTGTATTTTGTTATCTTTGGACAGAGCCTGGCTAGATGTTTCCCTGTTATGCTAAACTAAGCTTACCTGCTGCTGGCTGTAGCTTCATATTTACCCATAAACATGAGAGTGTCATCAATCCTTTCATCTCTCTCCAAAATATCAAGCTATACATTGAACCAATTAACTATAGTTTAGTGAACATACCTTTTCTCTAGTTAAAGGTATAGTCTAATTATAATTAGACGACAGACTAAGATAGCTAATAAGCTACTCACAAAATCAATCAGAATAATCAATGAATAAATTATTACTTTCAGTCACCAAGTGATAGAAATGATCAATGTAACAACATAATATTTAAAACAACACACCTAAATGAGTATATTAACTTTGCCTTTTTAATCAAGTACAGTTCATGCTCTTTTGTCAGTAACAATCTATCATCACTATCTTTCTTCTCAGATGGTCCATCAGAGGTTCAGATCCAAGGTCCCGACACAATAGAAATTGCAGAAAAGTATGAGTTTGTGTGTACTGCTGAATGCCTGCCTTCTTGTCGCTACGTAATGACTGTGGACAATCAGACTGTGAGAGGAAATGTGATTGAGATGACAGTGGATCGTTCGCTTAAATCTGTCACTCTCAAGTGTGAGGCACAAAACACTGCTTCAAAGAAGACAGCTACAGCCTTCAAAACTGTACAAATGGCAGGTAGATGAGCCATAAAATAGTTTTATGTGCATCATATTAAACCTTTTTGCTGTTATATGACCTGCGTTTGTGTGCAGGCTCAGCTCACAACCTGTCAGCTGTGCTGCTGCTGACCTTCATCATTCCTGCTGCCTTCACAGTGTGATCCGACTGCACACAGGTGAGGCTTACTTACTGAAGCTTGGGAGAAATATGATCCCAGCAACATGGTTTGGTAGCATTTAAAATTAATTCTTAATTTTATTGGTTTTAACATATTACTTCACTATTAATTGTAGTCATTTGTTGTATTTTGTTTCTTATCATTTTGTATAATTATTTTAGCTGTAACAGCAGGTACAAACTTGTTGTTTTTAAAAATCTGTCCCTCTGTCTTTGTCTTCATCTGTCAGATATGTATTCGTCCTGTGAATGAATTTCTGATGAAGAAAGGTAGTTGAATTGTGGAAAATAAATGACTCATGTACCTGTGATCTCACGCAGCATATTATTCTTTTCCATTTGTCTTACATGTTGACAGTGGGCTGGACCCTGTTTGCACTTTCTAGTAATAGATGTAGAGAAGCACTTCAATATCAAGTGTGCAGCAGTGTGCAGCCAGGAGCATGTAATATCAGAATTTGTTGACTTATGTTTGTAAGATTCTTTAATAGAAATGTTGAAACTTGTCTTTACATAAATAAATGCAATGATGACTTTAACCACAAGCCTCAGACTATTTTTTTCAGTTACCAAATATGGATAAAAAAACAGCATATCATAACTACAATACATGGTTTATATACTTTCAGTCAGACTTCTGTTCAGGTTGTTGCGTGGGGCTCTGCTGGAAATGACCAAAGGTCACTAAACCAAATGAACTTATAACTGAATTGAAGGGCACTTGGAGAGCGCAGACCTCAGCCAAAGCTAATGGGTCCAGCCTTCTATTATATGCTAATCTGCAACTGCAACTGTTGAAATAAAAATGAAGTAAGCCAGGGTCAGGTGTGATGAAGAAGTTTCAGAGACTGACAGCATGGTTTATTGAGCCTGGCCGAGGAGAAACAGTGCCAGCACGTAGCATGTGAATACATAAGCCACAATGTCAACACCACAGTGTCCAAATAAGGTAATTGTTCACCCTTCTATGCATGTGTGAAGATTGTACATTGGTTCAAATGAAGACACGATGCTCGTTTCATTTCAGTTCAGTTCAGTGTGCTCTATTGTCATGAATGTTTCATTTATACAATGTTGAGAAAGCAGTTTCCATAATCAAAAGTTTACATTTGAATGAGACATAACAAGATTAATCCAATCAAAACCACTAAATTTAGCAGTTGTAAATTACAAAAACGTGTCATTTAAGCAACATGCAACCCACATAGGCCCAGTCAGTCTGTCTGTAATGAAACAAATAAAGATAATCTCAACCTTGGGTTACCAAACAAATAGATAGCAGTGCATCATTATCAAGAGCTGCGTCAGTCAGCTCTTGATAGTCAGCTTCAGTTAAGTTTCATGAAAACTGGGTCAATAGTTTTCACATAATCTTGCTGACAGACAAACAAACAAAAGGCACCGAAACATAATTTCCTTTAGCCTGGAATCCTTGTGAGCACCTCAGACTGGTCCGAGGGTCTTGATTTAGCCTTGGCTCCACCTGCAGGTTGGATGGTGATTTTACACCACTGGGATCTGTTTTTAATGGCTTTAACAAATGAGAAGTGGCGTGATCCCTGCAATTGTGTCTACCAGTAGTAGGCTATAGAAAAAAATTTACTGTGTGCTGCTGTGGGTTGCTTTGGTTTTTAAATTGCATACCGGCTGCGAGACAGACGTTCTAAAAATCGGAGCTACTCAAAAGTCAAAACTACACCCCAAAAGAACCAGTTCAGACACACTGAGACCTTTTGTTAGGTAATTGCACCTAACAACTAGGTCATTTTGATCCAGATGAAGTGCATATAAAAAGATCTTGCAATGTTTACATCCTGAAGGGAAATTCTTTTAAAATGTGTTGCGTGTTAAAATGCCATTTAAATGAAAGGTCAGTTTTATATTTCACACACACATTTCACACAGGTATATGTTTGCTCTGATATTGTATTGACAGTTAGAGGACACACCCATCATTCATATATCGTTGATATCAGTCCACTGACAAAACACTTTGTGAGAAGTACTTCACTGTGGTATGAACTCCTTTTTGCTTTGATAAAAAGAGGTACACATTTCATTCCAGGATTTAATTTACACATGCACCAGTGGCGCTTCTATTGATGGAGATATGATCTAGGTGAAGGGGTGCAGACAGCAATTGAAATGTTAATCAAATACCTTTGTTTGTTTTGTTTTTAGTTTTTTTGGTGGAAAGCTCAAGCCTTCTGTAATTGCTGAGATTACTAGTATGTATATACTATATATTGTTAAAGCACTTTGTAACTTGTTTTTGAAAAGTGCTCAAATAAAGATTATTATTATTATTATATCTAAAAGGGCAGGCGTTCATTCAATGCACAATGGACAGTCAACGGACCAACTTAGGCCTCACCTCCTGAGTGAAATTTTTGTTATTTTACTGACTAGAAACAAAATCTTTGATAGCTTCCTCATTGTGTCCCCGAAAGCAACCAAAGAAATTTAATTTATAAAACCATTACATAGGCCTATTCTTTGTCCTTCTGTCAATCAAACATCTATTTTCTTTTCCTCATATCTGACTGGTTTAATGTTTTTATAATAACATGAGACAATTTGGAAGGGATCGCTCATGGTGATGAACCTACAAAGATTTATCATTAAAAGCTTCACCTCTCTCTGCTTTATGGAGCTTTATAGTGAGTTTTGGCTCATTGTTCAGCTGTCCAGCTCACAACTTTATTGTTTTGTTTCACTCTCACGGCTGTTCTAAGAGAAAAAGTTCTATAAACCCACTATACACCTGCCCAGCACCAAACGGCAGACAGACACAGTTAGCCACTGGCTGGTCAACACATTTAGGAGCTAAAGAGTCAGATATTTCCCTCAGGAGTTTGTAGAAACCAAACATGGAACTAAAAGAGAGTGAAGAACTCACGTGAAGTTTTACACTAAAATGGTGAGAAGCGCAGCTTTGACTTACACACAGTAGAGGGATTAATAAAAGGTAAACACATTAACAGAACCACAAAGAAAACACCAAAACATATCAGATCTTGCAGAAAGCTGCAGTTGTATTCTATCAAGATGCTGTGATAAATTGAGTTTAAAATATTTACATTTGCAACCACAGGTAGATATAAAAGAAAAAAGAAGATAGAGCCACATTATCTGACCTGGGTCAACTCTGCAGGTACAAAAGAAACCACCACAAGCTGGAGAAGACAAAACCACACAACACGTCCTGTACGCACACCCACTGCAGAGAATAAACCCAGCTGATAACCAACATATTGCACTCCTTTGCCAGGAACATTGGGTCATTTGTTGTCTGTGTTTTGTGTGAGCGGTTGATCAGTGGGCACGGCCGCGTTATAAGAGTGCGGGTAGTTATTGGAGTGCGGGTAGGTTCAGACTGTCTGCAGCACCATGGTTTGTCACTCAGCCTGTCTGCTGCTGCTGCTGCTCACCTGCCTGGCAGGTAAGAGGCTGCCCCGCTGGGTCATCATCCGCTTGTCAATCAACATTTTAGCAGATTTATCAGTTAAATGTTGATTAATTACATAGACATTCTTTTTTATACTGATATGTTTTCAAGGATTTGATGTGATTTGTTTTGTTTTGCAGTGCTGTAAGAATGTGTGTTGTTACTTTATTCTCGTTTTTCATATCAAAGGTTTTTCTGCCAGTGAAACTGAGCAAGGTGAAACCATGGGGGAAATCTCATGTAAGCTCCTTATTCTGATTCTTACCAGAAGTTACTATCTTCAATTGTTTAAAAACATATGTAATAATCTTCATTTATAGGCTTTGACTTCCTCATGAGTTGGAATATTTTTTAATTGGAAATTCATTCACTCATTCATTGGAAGTCTTGTCTGTTCTGCCCCCCGCAGATGGGCCAGCCTCAGTGGCGATCACTGGGGCAGACATAGTGACAGTGGGAATCCTGTATGGTTTTGAGTGCTCGGCCTACTGCTACCCGGCTTGCCAGTACACCTGGAGCAGGGGTAATGTTACATCTCAGGGGCCTGAGCTGAGCTTGCAGCTCCTGCAGTGGGTGCCAACACAGACCCTGACCTGCACAGTGGTCAACCCTGCATCAAATCAGTCAGTCACAGTCCAAAAGACGCTGCAAGTGACGGGTATGAATGACCAAAGTGAAGTCAAATTCACGAGTTCCTTTAGCTGCACTCCCTTCAACCAAATCTATTCCCAAACTTTTCAGCTGGGCCATCAAACATACAGATCACAGGCCCACCCAGTCTGACCAGCGGTGCTGCTTCCATCTTTACCTGCTCAGCTGACTGCTACCCCTCCTGCAGCTACTCATGGACTGTTGTCCTGGAAGGAGAGGTGTTCGATACTGCGCAAGGAAACACAATTTCTGTCACTCCACCTGCTAGTACGGTCGCCTCGGAAACTCTCATCTGTCAAGCTGAGGACACCGTCTCACATCTCTACATTTCTACGACTCTTTTGGTGTATGTGGCAAGTACGTGAAAGAACCTAACCTCTAAGAATTAACAATCAGTATGTTTAACAAAAAGCAACAAAAATCGCATGTTTGAGAGAAATGTGTGTGCTTAGCCTACTGTTATGGTTTTGAATGATGGAAGTCGGGGAAATGCATTGTTTGATTGAAAGTCTTTTTCTGTGAGTGGTTTACTTGCATATTACACTGTGATATGTTCCAGTTTATAATACTTGATAGCTATAGATTACATTTGGATTGCTCACCTAAGATTAAAGTTGATTTATATAACATTTGAAGAACATTTGAAGAAAATACCAATACCAATAAATACCAATAATATAAGTCAAAAATAAACTAAATTAATAATACAGTCAAACTGTGTGCTAGCATTAATATGTGCTCTCTTAAAAAGAAGTGTTTTAAAAGATATTTTTTGATTACATTCATACTCTGGTGTAACTTTGTGAAATGACAATGATGCATTCAAACTACTTTTTCTCCAACTCCTTCCCTAGCCGTAGCTGATATTAGCATTGCTGGTGAAAGCACAGTGACTATGGGACGGCTGTCCACATTCACATGCTTGGTCGCATGCATCCCGACCTGCAGCATTACATGGCAGTACATGGGGAAGACTTTCCAGGGTGACCAAGTCAATATACCCATCTTGCATCAGGGGAATACAACATACATTGAAAATAAGCTGCATGTGACTTTTAGTAACTACCCTACTTCTAAAATTGAGCCTCTGACCTGTGTGGCCACCAACACTGAATCTCTGGCTACCATTACCGCCACTATGAACCTCACTGTCATTGGTGAGTCTGTGATATTGCTCCCACCTGATTTTTAAATAAAAAAAGATGGTATGAAAAAACAAATCACATTATGTCTTTCATGTTCATGCTCTCTGTTTTGAACGTTCTCTCTGCACAGACCCCATGTCAGTCCACCCCACCTCCCAGGCCCTACCAGTGGCAGGGATGTCTTTCTCTCTGCAGTGTGATGGCCCTCAGAACCCAGCCTCCATTACATGGCTAAAGAACAACAGCCCAATGCCAGCAAATGAAAGAGTGCATTTCTCCCCTGAAAACATCTCGATGACCTTCAATCCTCTCCTGGAGGAAGATGATGGTTTATACCAATGTGTGGTGGGAGAGGGGGGGCCCCCATCCAGTCTGTTGGCTACAATATGCAAGTAAACTGTAAGTATACTGGGGCCATCACAGTCACCTCATTAGTGAGGCAGGATAAGTGGGCACAAAAAAGAGAGGAAAGAGATTAAGAATTATTTTCTGCTTCCTCATAAACTAACATGGAAGCCATGCCTAAGGCTTGGTGTATGCTTAGAATAAAAGAAAATGAACACAAAATGTCACACTATCAGGCACATGAGCTATAATGACTCATGCATTTTATTTTAGTTAATGCAGTTATGCAAGCTAATTTTAGTTAAATGTTTATGCTAGTTGTATTTTTAAGTCTGTGGAAACTCAATTGTGTGGTTTTCTGAAGCCGATCAAGTATTTCCCTAACATTAATCCTTGTAAGAGCCACACAGGTTAAGCCTTTCATACATCCATATCTTAAGGCAATTAGACTTTTCTTTTCTTTTCTAAAAGCGATGATATTTTATTATGTTGCTAATTTGGCACTTGCATCTAGTGGCATCACCATCCATCCATCTTCTACTACGTATCTGGGTTTGGGTCACTGTTGTGGACATGTAGCTGCAGCTCTGATGATGCAATCATGAAGTCGACCACTGATCTTTGACCACAAAACCCATACAGTGGCAACTACTAACATAACAACATACAATTAAATTAAATGGATCACACAATACACTAAAATATCTGAAAGTAATTATAAAACTTTTCCCCAGGTGCAAAGGTCCATTCATCGGCATTTCATCTGAATCATATTGTAGATTTATGTGCAATCCACATGAGTAATGTTTTTTGTTTAAACTTCTATACATGTTGAATACAGATAACTTCTTACTGGCAAAATATTCTTCTGTGTTAAATTAAACAAATCAAATTGTTAAATCAATTACATTTTTATGGAACTCTGATCTGTGAGGCTCAGAACACGTCTGTGCTGCTCCGGGTGGCAAGTAGGAGAAAGACCCTACCTCTGAGCAAGAATTTACAGTCAACAGAGTTGTGACGTGGGATGATTCTTTTGGACTCCCCTGATTCCAGAAGTAAAATCTCCATTCATTTTTTCACATACACAGTGTTATGCGACACATAGTTGGAGCACTTACAGCATGAATATGATGATAGATCTCATGTGAATAAATCCTCACTACATAAGATTAAGAACTCAAGAAAACACAGTGATGGTGCCTGGTAATCACTATCAGCGGTTGAACTAAGAAATTATTCATCTTCAAATGACTGAACTGCATATTTGTCCCTGTTTAAGTTAGTTTAGAACAAAGACCGTGATTTGGCTTGTACTGGATTTGTGGCTCTTCTCTTGCAGACGGACCAAACGATGTGATCATTGCAGGACCAGAATCTCTTGAAATTGGGGTCACAGCGAGCTTCACGTGCTCAGCCGAGTGCTCTCCTTCCTGTAGCTTCTCATGGACATTGTATGGGAAGACAGTGACGGGTAGTGTGATTGACATCACTGTGAACCGCCACGTTTTAAAAGAGTCCATCAGCTGCCAGGCTGAGAACACACTCACTGGGAAGACGGTGATGGTCAATGACACGCTCAGTGTCTCAGGTAGGCTTTTGTTGAGAGGTTTGAGTGCATTAAGATGTAGTTCGCAGCTGATATCTTTTCTAACTGTAATTTATGTGCTTTTCATTGCAGATCCTCACTGGTGTGGATGTTGAAACACTGGACGAACTGTACTCAGCGCAATCTACATTCTCCAGATCTGCAACAGTGTGCAGTTGTACAGTGTGGCACAAAGTTATAGATTGGTAATCCTTTTATTAATGACACTTTTGAATGGCTATATTTGCTCAAGCATTGCTTACTCTTGACTATGAAGGACCTAAACAGGGCGTTTCCCTACCCTTTGCACAATGCATGTTGGGCCAGGTTCCAACCTCTTTGTGACCCTGAACAAGATTAGAAAAGTATAGAGAAAGGACCTATGGAGTGTGTGCTTGAGTAATACATTGTTGGGTTTTAATTACATAAGGCTAATCTAATTTTCTTTCATAATGTATTCCCATTTGTCTTGCCAAACAATATGCACTATTAATATACTTAAGAAACAATGAACAACTGTACTTTTGCTGATTACACAATGCTTATTCATCACCCAAGTGACACATCTGAGATTAAGTAATCCTGAGTTATAAACGACTCTACTTCTGTAGTTATTGACTCAACAACAGTCCACACACACACATAACAAAATACACCTTTATTTGTAGTTCAGTTTTCTAAAAACACTTGAGACTCAAACTTAGTCCCTTATCGTTCACACACACATTCTCCACAGTCAAACCGGAGCTGGTTTATCCAAAAATGTCAGATCATTTTTGGTAGATTAAAGAATGGAACATTCAAACAGGGAGAGTACAGTAGTAATTTCACACTTCCTGTTAATATAACACCCCTTCTGGTTGGCGTATAATCCCCTATACTATGTCCTCATCTGCCTCCATTTTGCAACACACCAACATGTTTATAAAATGAATTTCAACCAAGAGGTCAAGTGGTCATTGGTGTAAAGTTTCCATAAAGCTGCATAAAGTTTGAATTCAACAACCCTCAAAATAAAAATTACTTGTAAATTTATGGAAGCAGTTGAGCAGAAAATAATTAAACATTACACTGTAAAGCTGCTGATTAGCTGTTGCAGACTCTGTTTTTATCAGCTGTAACACTAAAATGCATGAAGCTCAGAATTAAAATGTACAGTTTGTAAATTTCCAACTTCCAACTTTAAATAAACAGTGTTATCAATATAGAAAGATGATGACATCAGCGTTTTGACAGGAGAAGGGCCACTACACAGCAGTCCACTTTAATGAAAGTTTATTCAGAATTAGAATAGAACTACATTGTTTAGTTGGCTTGATGTAAAACGATGAGGTGCTCTGTGTTGTAATTTAAAGTCTACAGAAGTTGCAGATTTGTCTGAAATCCCAGCATCACACACCGTACTTCTTCTGTAAGGCTGCGACAGATGATCCCTCCAGATCAGCTTGGTGAAGGAAGTCAAACACTTCTTTAAGCACTGGGGGGGGGGGGGGGAGAAAAGCAGTACAGCCATCATCAATATGACAGAATGTGCGGGTGAAATGCATTGAGCGAAAAGTATGTGTCATCTGCAATGGCACATCAAAGAGAGTCAACCTTTCTTTTCCGGAGACGACAGGAACATGACAGCCATGTCGAAGCGCCTTACACTTGCTAGACTCCTGAGGATCTCCAGTGTGATGGCCGGTGCTTCATTCCTGCACAAGACTGATGTTACTGCACAGTACAAAGCTACACATGCAACTTGGCAATGCTGATTTTTATTCCTCTGAGCATCTCTTGAAACTCACTTGATATAGAAACCATGCAGCGTCCTCAGGATCTGATTGAGAATGTCAGGTTCAAGGGAGTTGAGGAAAATGTTTCTGTACGCTTCGGGCTTGATTTGCTGCAAGACGAGAACACAAACAAGGCCAAGAAATTCCGTTAAAACAAAACACTGCGAGGTAATCTTCATATTTTGGTTGTTTTCAGCACCCCTTTTGTCCAATTCATCATACATTTTGAAAACTTCTCTGAGAAATTGAGATTTCAGATTTAAGCCGTATTTGCTGGTATTTCAAAATGAGATTCAAATGAGATCTGTTGACCTCAGACCAGGTTGATATAAATTATATAAAAAATGACAGTGTAAACAGCCAGGTTTGATATTTTCAAACACACAGCTCACCCTCAGATATCTGTAAATCACTTCAGGCTGGTTTCCGATCTTTCGGAGGTCGGCCTCCAGCTGGAAGCTGTTGGTGGGTGGAGGAGGCGGGTCTGTTACTGTCGGGGAGGGGGTGCTTGACGGTTCAGGAGGATGAGCGATTTCCCCCTGCGCAGGTTGTTTGGTCTCTCTGCTAGCTGGAACTCTGGGAAACAGAACATCTGTTTACTAAGTGGGAATCGTTCCACAACATAATGCACCATTCAGTGCTTTACAGACGTGGCGAAAATCCCCCAGAATCTAAAGAATAACCAGTATTGTGAAGAAGAAGAGGTAGTGCAACTAACTGGTCAGATGAGTGTGAAGGGACTTCTGCCATCTCCTCGATCTTGATCATCTTGGCGCTGGGTGATGTCGACAGTGGAGACGATTCATCCTCAGCCTCCCTCATCACCTCCTGGATGAAGGACTTGGACCCACCTGACTCCACCTCAAGCACCGTCACCTTTCCACTCACTTCCTCAATATCAATCCTCCTTAGAGGTTTCTGAAGAGCATTAATGTTCAGCGTCAGTCAACATGATGGCCTGGTTATTCAATAACTATTTCAAAACACAATAAGCCTGTGTTTGTCAATCTATATAGATTAAATTCTAAGTTACTACAAAAAACAAAGTTAGAAAATCCAGATGTTCAGGTTACATTGATGTCTATTCTATAATAGCTAACTATAAGCATGTTGTAGACATGGGGAGTGAACTACAGAACTAAATTAAACAAGAACTTTATCTGCCTTTCACAAGTACAAATTGTTTAATCTACAATGTGTTTCAAGTATTCAATTAATCATGTAGCCTACATAATGCTATATAACAAATTCCTAGAGCTTAAAGTAATGTCTTCAAGTTGCTTATTTTCTCTGACTGCCAAGTTCAAATTAAATTTACCATATAAGATGAAGAAAAGCTAGCACATCTTTAAATTTGTGTTCAACAAATCTTTTTTGGTAACACTTTCTATGAAAGTCATCGCTATTATTCCATTTTATATCACTAACTGTAAATGGTGACTAAAGTGTATTCATAACAAGGCAGAGTCGGTGGTTACGGAACATGGTCGGTTGATATAAACTGGTATTACTATTAGTTATAAAACATTAAATCAAAAGGTCATAATACGTTATGAACTGTGCTATAGCGCCTAATGCATAATTGTAAGTGATTATAACAACTGTTATAATGTCTTACGGACGCATTATATCATGTTATAAATATATGCATAAGTCATTATAGCGATGACCTTCATAGAAACAACAGAACAAATGAATGATTGTCAATACTGTTATAGATTAACTTTCTGTCAATCGACAGAAATTATTTTCTATCACAATTTCCTGATTCACTTTAAACAGTCTCCGTTCATGAGCTTTTCGAATTTGGAATAACGCACATTCTCCTGCTTTAACATTAACTCTAAACTCACCGTTGACCGCAGATGTGTTGGTTTGTCAAACGGCTGGACTGTTCTCCTCTGTGTGCTGTCTGCTGTTTGAAGGAGGCTGCTGGAACCCATGTCCTAACACAACACAATGACATTAAGAACAGAGAAGTGAAGTCAGCAGAAGATCAAACCTAATAAAATCTGACGTGTCCGTTAGTAATCTGTACTTCAGACTGAAATTTAAACATTTATGCTTATGTCGTTTCTCATAGACAGAGGGACTTAAAGCACATTAGAGGATAAAACTCGCCATAATGATGTTACAAACAACCAACACCAAAAAAAAAAGAGATTTAAATTGTGTTTCTGTAATGCAGAAGTGTATTTTAGCAGTAACCTAATTAAAACGGCTCTTTATATTTTATAGCACTGTTTCTTTATCATTTACTGATTCACTGGATCTAACACTGTTCACTAATAACTGGATCTGGAAACATACAATCTGGAGTTTCTGGAGCTCATTCAGGGCCTGCTTGTTCCCTGGTTCCAGTTTCAACACCTCCTGAAAATCTGTAACACACAAACACACACAGTCAATAACTGATAACAATAATCCTTGCTGATATTATTTCAGTGCACTTTTTGTCAGTTTCATTTTAAGACAACTCATGCTGAAGCTGATGTAAAAAATAAACAGAACAGAACATAACGTGGCCCTACACTGTGAACTGGCTGAAAACACCAAAAGACCAATGTTGAAACAAAAGAAAAGATGAAAATGAAATTAACTATACTGTGGCAACACAGATTTCTAGAAGAATACAGCTAGATAAGTGACTTTTTGGTCTCCATGTGTTAAAAAAACCCCAGACAAAATATAATTGTTGTTGTTGCTGCCTTTAGAGAACAGCGTTGTTCTATACAGCACCTTGTTTAGCCTCCTTCAGTTTTCCTAGGGCCACTCTGGCGGTGGCACGACGGGCGAAGGCCTTGGAGTACGTCCTGTCCAGAAAAATGGCTTTGCTGCAGTCCTCCTCTGCCTCCTTATATCTGCAGCGAACGCGGGAAAGTGTTATCGTTTTTGTCTTCTCTTATTTTTACTCTTAACTAGAAAAATGTGCCGGACAAATTAATGTTTGGGTTTACTTCTCCAGCTTGAGGTAGGCCATGGCTCTGTTGGCGGGCAGTAGGACGTTCATGCTGTCTGCCTCGATGCCACTGCTGTAGCACTCAACAGCCGCTTCATACTTCCCCTCTTTGAAATAAGCATTCCCCTGAAAGGCACATGAGTGAGTAAGTTTGCAAAATTACCACACACTATGTGAGTCTGTGAACATAATGAGGCTTAATGCCAAATGATTAATTCTTACAAAGAACGTTAAAATTGACTCCTCGTACGGACATTTGGGCGCTTCTTTAATTTACCAGCCTCTGACATGTGAGCTGATGAGTCCAGCTGGGACACTGCAGCACAAGTGGCAAACCACAGCAAAGCTTACTCTGTCTTTTTGAATAACCGCCTCCTGTCGCCTCTGCTGCTCCACCTGTCGCCTCTGCTGCTCAGGGTCCGCTGTGGGAGCCTCCTGTGGCTGTGCGGCTTCGCTCGTGACGGCCTGTGCCTGATGGCCGAGGGTCTGAAACCAGCCGGGGGAAAGGGACTAAGTAAAAGAGAACAAGACTTGAGAAGTGAGGCTTACCCCCGAAAAGGATCCTTTCACACTCACCTCTTTGATTCGTTTCACTTCATTCTGTGCTTCCACGTTCCCGGGGTCAAGCTTCAGAACCATCTCATAATCTATCCAGAAATAGATTTGTGTTGTTATCTCAGAGCACTCAAGGTTAAACAGATGATCTAATCCTTTTAACAGTTTGTCACCTTCTAGCGCAGATTCATATTTCTTCAGCACAAACCGTGCTGCTCCTCTTCGGGCGTACGCTTTGAAGTAGTTGCTGTCCAGAGCGATAGCCAAGTTGCAGTCGGACTCTGCCACAGCATACCTGCAAAGGACAAAGTCTCAGTGATTTGCAGGGGAACAAAACTTTAAAAAATTTTTTTTATCAAGAGTAAGACTGCATGCGCACGCATCTTAATGTTGGTACATGTACTGAAAAGGATTCTATAGCGCAATTCATCAGCCATATAATCTGTGCTGTTTACTTTTTGAGTCTGAAGAAGGAGGTGGCTCGGTTTGTGGGAAGCACAGGGCTGTATGGATCTGCACCCATCCCTCTGGTGTAACACTCAATGGCTTCATCGTACTTCCCAGCTTTGAAAAACGTGTTTCCCTGAAAAATAAAAGCGCAAACAGCTTTAGGAAAGCCTTCTTCTTTTTTTGTTTATGTTGCAGTATGTCTCAGAGTATTGACCTTATCTTTCTCAGCCAGTGCTTTCTCCTTATCAACTGCAGCTTCCTCGGAGTCGGACTCATTTGACTCTGCAGGACTTTCCTCCTTATCCATCTCTGCCAGAGCCTTATCCTGCGACCACAGAAGAATAAATCTTTTGTAATCTAACGTTACTCCACGATTTCAAAGATCATGTTAAGTATATTTTATAAGAAAGCACACCACGTCAAACTTGTCCCATGATCGATAGTCGTAGCCTTTAATCTTTGAGGCTTGCTTGGGCTCCTCTCCCCTTGCGTCACCGTTGCCTGCTGGCTCCTTCTTTGTCTTTTTCTTCTTCTTTTCCCTCATCTTTGTTTTGTAGTCTTTGTTGCGCACAGGCGGGAGCTTCTTCTACAACAGAGAGACAACAAGCTGCTGACACCTTAAGATCATCCAGAGCACTACCCTCTCCTGAGATGGGTGTCTACACACAGGGACACACCTGGGCCTCCTGAAGTCCTCCCGTCCTCAGCTCCTCGTCCTTCTTCTTTATGTCAGTCTCCCAGCTCTCCAGGTCCCTCATGAGGCTGTGCAGATCCTCCGCATTTTGCCGCATCTGAAGCTGTAACTCGATGGCTTTGTTTCCCCCCGACATGTGATTCCCTGTGAAACAGACATTTGTTTGGGACAAATTCTTAACATTCGTTGCTGTAGCTGTTTTCTTGAAGTCCGAGTTGCAGCCAAGAGGAAAACACGAGAATCACCCTGTCACGCTTTTGAGGCTAGCTAGCAGAAATACCAAACAATTTAAGAAAGAACGTAACTGTAAGTGACTCTGTAGCTACTTGAACCTTGCGAGTACCTGGCACTTCTTTCTCCGGCTGGTAATTACAGTTAAAGTGTAGCTGCAGTTAATTTGGCTAAAAACTGCAAACTAATTGTGCCGTTATTGGACTTTCTGTTTACGTTCGGAGCCATGACAGCCGCGTGGAGTACCAGCAGCCTTTGCGCTGCTGAGCCTGCGCAGGACGTAACCAAAGATCGTCTATGTCACAAGCGATAACGATAACTTACTCCAAAAACTTTCACTCAATTAGCAGTTTGCCCACAAACAACCGATCTAAAAGGTAAACAGGTTCCGATTTTATTCTTTCCTCTCCCCCTAAATTTATTGCTAAAACAGGAATAAAGTGTACATGGGACATAGAGAAGTATGCAGAGCAGTATACAATTTTATAAGACGCATAACAATAGCTTTGCCAGGGGTGATCTATATTAGGTAAAGATGTTAAAAGAGACCCATATGTTGACAGTTTTACGGCCTTTTGTTGTTGGATTTAAAGAAATGAAATTGATTGGACATTAGCATTTATGTGGCTTTGTAATGTCATGTGCTAACTTACAGCCAACGGGTTTTGGAATGAAGTAGGCTAATGTTAGCCCTCCCCCTTAAAAGAAGCAAACAAACAAAACAAAATATATACAAATGTGCACATGAAAGATGGCCACTGGGCCCATTTGTCTTGTCGTGTTACACATTTTTATCAAGAGAGCTGTCTATCTATCAAACTATCATCACTAGCTTGATGGGTCAGATTTGGTCTCGGTCCACAGGTCGAGGTTTGAGTTGACGACCTGCCTGCACGTTCTAAATAGACGATCTATGCCGTATACTACTCTCTAGCAAAACTGCATTGAATGTGCGCATTTTACATCGTTTTTATATTATTTTCCAGAGACTAATATTTCTTTAAGTTTTTGTATAAGAGCGATGTAAATCAAATTAGAAATACAGCTTCCCGTTTATTACCTTTGACCTATAGCTACCACGTGATCTACAAAACAGTGATGACCTCTCTTGCTTCTAACTAGCGGTAACGTTAGCTGACCGGGGGGGAACTTATGCTAACATTTCCAGATTGTAGACAACATTTAATGCAATGGATCAAACTAAACAAGAGGAGGAATATGGATACAATTTGTTCCCGGAGAGGAACACGGGGAAGTACAAGAAGGGATCAATCGGGGAGAGCCTGTTCACTTTCAACCACAAGTGTCAGGTCATGTTACAGTTCGCAATGGAAACTAGTGAGTATTCTAGCTAGCTACTCCTGTAAAGGGATTGTCATCTCAGCAGTGAAGACAGATACTTTGTCTTACTAAGATGTTTCTATTTGTGATGTAAATACCTGCGCAATGTGAACGTATTAATCTCGTAGTCAGAGTAGCAGCATTTAGCGTTAGCTAGTGTAGCTAGCAGTGGTTTCTGTCAGTGTAACATGCTAACTATACTAACAAGCTCTGACTGGTCTCTGCTTCTCTCAGGTCCGTATGCCAAACTCCTCCTCAGTGCCATGAAAAGTTCAGGATGGTGAGTGTTTATCACTGATCTTCTAACGTTACTGTTACGTTATCTCTTAGGTCCCTGCAAACAACCTGGGACTGAACTTCCTAGACAGTATTTGCTGCCACTGATATTACTACACAGTAATAAGAGGTTCCAGTATACCCATATAAACAGGCATCAAGATAAATTAATCATTAATTAATCGAATGTATTTCTAGAAGCACAGCTTTGATATTGCTTTTTGAAATGTGCATGTTAATCTTAATATCAAATTAAATGCAATGTGTCCTTTTATCGTTTGTGTTTAGAGTATCCACTACATACGTGCAACAATATTAAATTTCCTGGTTAATATTCCAGTTGCCCAAATATTTATTGGCCGTTCCTCTATGTGTGATCTGCTTCGGTGGCATTTTGTGACAACAATTTCACAGTAATTTAAATGGGAACAGACAAAAAGAAGTGGCACCAAGATGACCCCTTTACTTTCTCCTCTCAACGCAGCAAAGTGTTTAAAGAGCGACATTTCTCCTGTGAAGACTGCGACGGGACGGTCAGCGGTGGCTTTGATGCAGCTTCCTCTCAAGTAAGAAGGAGATCTCTCTCTAAAGATAAAGCAGGTTTCTGAGGGCTTGAAAGAATTTTGACTGCTCCACCTGAATGAGATTTGTTTGTCTGCAGATCGTCTTGTGTCAGAACAACATCCACCAGCAGTCCCATATGACACGAGTGGTCACACATGAGCTCATTCATTCCTTTGACCACTGCCGGGCCCACGTGGACTGGTTCAACAACTTCAGACATCTGGCTTGTTCTGAGGTGAGCCCCAATGTGCTCAGTACTGGTTGCATTTATGTGCAATGGTAACTTTGATTATTGTGTGATTTTAGTTTCATCTTGGACATTGTGTTTCTGTTGTCTATCATTACATGTAGAATAGTAAGTTAGAGCTAATACACGAGAAGCGAATGAATTTCTCATGTGGGCAAAAAGTGTACTGTTAGCGCTCTTTGACATGAAAATGCTCCCAAAGTCCGTGAAAAAAAACTCAGTTTCACATTTCCACGCTACAGTAAGCAACTTACAGTTTTAGTCGTCCTGGTACATTTCTCAGATTAGACTTAAAATTCTCTAAACTACCACATCCACACCTCCACATCATGTAGTCATTTGTGCACGTTATAAAAGGAATTTCTCATTCTTTTGAGCAAATTGCAAATGCTTTGACACATTTTGCAAGTTATTATGTACAGTTGTCTGCTGTTTCTTATCAATTGCTTATGTCATGTTGATCAGTGTATTATGTTTGTTCTCTGTTGAATAATCTTACCCTCCAAAATATCTAGGCATAAGTTTATTGCATTACAGTAAGTCATTACATACTAAATGGTTGAACACGTCATAATCTGTCAAGCATATTTTCTATACATATTTATTGGACTTTTTTTTGTAAATGTGTCCTGAATTGAACACTGTGATGTGGATGAGAATTTGTGGCTAGACAGACAGGAACGTCAGCCTAAGGATGTTTCCCGTGGTTACATTTCTAATTTTGTTGTGCTATAATACAGTCTTAGTATTACAATGATAAGCGCTGTAAACACATTACAGTACAAACAGTAAAAGCATAACTGTGAATCCTGTCCAGTCTCTTGCAATGTATAACTTTGTACTGTTGAAATTGATTTATGCCATACTGAAAGTTATGGGCTTTTGCAGGTAGTCCACTGTGTGTTGCTGTTTGTATGATCTGTTATGAGAAATGCACCTACTGTTTTATATTATATGGTAGTAAGGCAGGGATTTGTAACTAGATTCCTATTAGGCAGCATTGACTGTTGTGATTTCCAAATATTTTTCTTTCTTCTTTAAAATCTTTAAAAGGAAAAACCCCAATTGGCATCAGCTAAATAAATGTAAAATGTAAGGACTGGCGACCACTGCCTTATCTGTGGCTCTCACCCCCAAGCTCATTGGTTCTTAAGGAAGTTAATCTTTTAAAGCAGATCACAAATACTTTCTTTAAAACAGTTTCCTAAAACAGCTGTGCACTGTAGTTTTTACCAAATGTTACCTAAACAGGAGTAAATGCTGCATGTTGTTTTTTTTGGGAGGGGGACTATTTTAAGCCGCAGATTGATACACATTTGGTGCTCTAGTGAGTATTTACAGCATCACCAGTCTCATAAATGGTTTGTTAGTTTTTGATTGAGACGTGAGAAAGGGCAGAACTGCTCGGTTCCACATCGCATTTTCTTCTTCAACTACATTGTTTTGTTTGAGCTAAAAAAAACACATTTTAAAACCTTTTTTTATTAGTCAAATATCCTCATCCTGCTGACCTAAAAGTTTGGTTTCTTGATTATCCAAAGACTGTTTGGTTTTTTTGTCATTATATCAGATCCGGGCAGCTAACCTCAGTGGAGACTGCGCCTTTAGCAATGAAGCCGCCAGATTCAACTTCGGCTTGAAGCAGCATCATCAGGTACCTGCACTGGGATAAATGCAATTTTTACTGGCAGGCTTCAGGTTTGTGTCTCTAATCTAACACTTAGATAAATGTTTTTCCTTGGACAGGAGTGTGTCAGAGGCCGTGCCCTTCGCTCCATCCTGGCTGTGCGGAACATTAGCCGAAAGGAGGCGGAGAAAATAGTGGATGAAGTCTTCGACACGTGTTTCAACGACCACGCGCCATTTGGACGAATCCCCCACAGCAAGAAGGATGCCGGGTTTGCTTACAGAGATTATGAGAACAGAGATCGATATTATGCAAACCTTTAGTGTCGTCACAGTCTCATTTAACTCCGTGTGAATGGCGGTGACGCTGACAAGGGCTTGGCAGCGTCTGGGCCGTGGTCAGCATAAGAGCCTCAGCAGAATGACAGCGTGTCCAAAAGGATCATATCCCTTCAGAAGGGATTTTCAGAGAATGATTTGTCCTTGGAACAGGAAAGCAAGGAAGGAGCTACAGTTCATTTCATTTTCTACCTTTTGGACACTAATTCTGTATAGAGGGGTTGTAAGGAGTGGTTCGGGAAGTGAAGTACTAGATGAGGCCCCTGTGATGTATTGGCCATTTGTTTTTAGGTTATCTACGGGTGCTTTTAAGGAAATGCAGGGTTTCCTTTGACTGTCCTTTGTTGCCATATTGACCTCCACTAATTTCTTGTAAATAGAGTTGATTGTGCTTGAATTAAACAGAATCAACTTGTGTTTGAATAAACGTTTGATTCCTCTGAAAAAGTGAGTTATTAATTATTTGTGAGGACAAGAGGAGTTGTTACGTTCGACCTTGGCACAAGATGTTTGCGATTCTAACTTGCCAATGAAGCGGAAGTATGCGTACTGCTGATTATAACTCATTTGTGTCTAATCCCGAGAGAGGATTCTTCAAATATGTGAGACAAGTAATATGAGGAAAGTGAGAAAAGTTCCTCCACAAAAACATGGTCAACTTTGTTCACATCTGCGCCGCCACTGTAAAATGTCACCGCTGACATCTTTATTGGACATTAGCATTTAAAGAATCTCGTATCCCTCCACAGAGATTAATGAGGGAAAAAGTTATAAGGGAATTAGCCTCATAATCCCCCCTCTTCCTCCCTCTCCTCTTCTGCCTATCTCAAAGACAACATTCTCTGCATCGTAATCACAATGTCACTTGGTGTTTCTACTGTTGGAGTGTAATATGCCACTCATCTCAACATTCTCCTCTTAGAAAACGCTAAAAAACACTAGATGAGCGAGTGGGCTTGAACAACAAGGCGAGTGGGTGGGATGGGACGAGCAAAGAAGATTAGGTTAATTTTAGAAGCTTAACAGAGAAAATGATGACAACCGCTTCAAGGCAGTGGGATTAATGTGAGACAAACACAAGGAAACAAAAGAAGGGATATTTGGATTTGTGCAATGTCATACACCCAAATAGACTAAATAAAGAAATCATGCAAAACAATAGAATTACTGCTAGAATTGTACACATATCAAATGCCAGCTACTAAACACATTTGATACAATTAGACATACAGAACAAGGTTGTGAGTTTGTATTTATGCTCACTGAGTTCAGGACTGTAGCCTGGATTTTAGAAAACCGATGTCAGAAGCAAGTCATCGCAACAAATCCACACCCACGGTTAAGTCTCATATAAATATATTCAGTCAATAAACACTGAAATACAGAGCTGATAAAACAACCACCATGTTATTGATTTTACCTAAAGTATCATAACTCACTCCAGGTTGCCAAAGAGCTAACATTGCTAAGTTGCAAAAAACTACAGAGGAAACTCAAGAATAGGCCCTGACAGTTTAATTAGCTTTTTTCTTCTTCTTAACAATAATATAAAAAGGTACATTTGGGAGAAATTATCAACTTTTATAAAGTTGTTACAGCAAACTTGTTAGCAAGCAGTTGCTTATTTAAACAACCAGCAGTTCTCTGTTTTGTTCTCTACCAACTCTTGAGAAAAATGTTTTTTTGTTGTTGCTGAAATTAGCAGTAATTATTTAGCCTCAAACCTTCATCCATGACTGCAGTACCCTCTTTGTCCTTTAGGTGGCAGTTTTGGCCACTAATCCTCAACATCAGAACAAGTCCAATCCAAACTTGAAAAGAAAGTGCTGTTACTGTTTTATTGATACATATAATTGAATCCATTTCATTGAGTCCTGTTCCAGGTGAATGTTGGGCCTTTTATGAGGAGAGATAGGGTGTAGTAATCAAGTTGCCACTGCGAAGAGTGACGACTTTCATTATTCCATCTATTTAAGCAGGTTGCACCCACTGTGATCTAATTAGGATGCTCCAGCAACATTGAAATCCCTCACTAATCTGCCGTAGGACAACACATTAACCCAGAGAGCACTAATGAACTCATCTCATTAATTACAATAATGCCAGATTTAGTTGCAGCGTGGGGAGGCGATGAAGTGCGAGGACACCCACTTGCCTTTCTGAAGTTTTAAGGCGTTTGCTCTTCCTGGGGTGGAAGTGATAATGACAGACTGCTGAATTATTTAGCTATGAATTTTAAAAGTACAGAGAAACTGGTATTGCTTATTTTATCAAGAAGACTATGTATGTTTCTGCGCAATATATCTTTTCAGAAGAATGTGTGACATATGCACATTTGCTTCTCAAGGTCTTCTTTGACTTTGAAATCAACATGACTGAAAGAAAGAAGCAGAGGAGAGACCTGTCCCATCTCCAGCACTCTGGGGAAACACTTGAACAAAGAAAATATATTGAGTCCAGTCGCCTGTTCTTTAGCCTGAGGAGAACAATCATATTCAGCTGATTGAGGACAAGAGTGCATTTCTAAAGATCGCCTCCGTGAATTTGTTTTATCAGCTGACATCATATCTGAGCACAGATCCATGAGGATAAATATCCAGAACAAGGAGAAGAAAATTAAATTTAAAATATAGTTGTAATAACTTTGGATGTAGAGTGAGCTACTACCATAAGTGCTAGCAGAATTAGCAGTTTAGCCTTGCAGAAGCAGTAGGAGTTGAAGAGGCTATTAGAACTATCATTAGTTGTAGTACTACTTGACTAGTATTATTATAAATATTTTAATTAAAGGAATAGTTTGACATGTTGGGAAATACCACTCTCGTGTCTGTATGGTAAATTTAAAGCTACAGCCAGCAGCCAGTTAGCTTAGTAGACTGGAAAACAGCTAGCCTGACTGTCCAAAGGCAACAAAATCCCTCTCTATTCGTACCTCTAAAGTTCACTAACTTGAAATACTCTGCCACATAACCATAAAAGGCTGTTGTTTCAGTTTTTGCAACAATGATCTAACACCAGAGTGAGGTGCTGGACTTTGACTTTGTTACCTTTGAACCAGAGCCAGGTTAGCTGCTTCCCTTTTTCAGTCTTTATGCTAAGCTAAGCTAATTAGCTGCTGATAGTAGTTTCATATTTATCTTTCGTACATGAGAGTGGTATCGATTTTCTCATCTAACATTAGGTCAGAAAACAAAAAAGCATATGTTCCATATCCATATTCCCAAAATGTCAAACTATACTTTAATTTGTCATTACTATAAGTGCTAGACGTAGCGGTTGCCCTACCCAGTATAGTAATAATGCAAACAATGGCAGAAGAATTGATAGCAGCATTTTATATTAATATGTACATTATTAATTTGGAGTAGTAGCAGTGAGGTGTTCCTATTAGTAAAACCTTATTTACGTCAAAATATCAAATTACCAACAGTGAGTGTAGAAATATTAAACAATACCCCATTTACGTATATGATAAAGCATGAATTTTCCTATTCATGATTTACTATTTAAATCCATAGATGACCAGTGAATCTATTACTGCTGACAGCACCTACTCAACACACGTGGTACTTTGGGATGTAATATAATTCATCCCAAAGTCAACAGGCAACACTGACAGTGGAAAAAGTGAAAATCATTATAATTCACAGCACAAATCCTCTGGAGGCGAACTGTCTAACCTGACAATTAACTTCCTCAGCAGGGAAGCACTGTTTGAGACAGCAGTGGGGGTGCGCGTGTATATCAATTAATTATGTGTGCATATGTGTGCAAGTTGAGGATTAATTAAGGATGTGTTTAAAGTTGGCAGAGATCATCATTGCATTACTATAATCTTATGCAATTTGAGCACAACTTTTTGGCACGTCTCTCTCAAAGCAAGGACATCTATAACCTAAATTAATGGTTGGTTGACCCAAATCACACACACACACACACAAATCTCACTTCCCACTGGATAATCCACAGACCTCATTGTTAACACTTGTCCTTCAAACTATTTTTTTTACCAAAGAAGTAGTTCCTATGAAAATTGTTAACAGCATGTTCCGTGGATTGTCTTGAAAAACAGGAACACTGCTTCTCGACAGATATGCGGTTGAATGCTTTTGAATGAAAGGTCACCTCCATTGTGCTGAGGTTGAGGCAGTGACCTCACAGGTGGATTTTTCAAACCCTGGACAATTAAAACTATCGGCATTACTTGACACATTTAGAGCTAAGTGAGCTAAGTCATAATAATGATTATAATAATGCATTAATATATAATACTTACATTTGCTCCGACAGCCTGTATGACAGCATTTATGATATTACCAGTGCCACATGGTCATGGAGGAGATTTCTCCTTTGCTTATATAGAGGCAGGAGAAACCCTGCAGCACAAATGTGATGGGATAATTAGCAGATCATAACATTTTACCATGGCAGAGTATAGCGAGAAAATCTAAATGCAGTTAGTGTACAGGTTTCTAAGGTCTACCGCTAACCCTTTAAAGGGAGGAACAAAAATACTCTATATGAATTTCTGATAAAGTCTGGCCTATTTCAAGATTATTGTTTACAACATTGTGGTGATCTGTAGAAAAAATAAAAATCACGAGATTTCATGTTTTGTTTTTTTGGTGGTGAGGTGGTTAAGTGGCCTTTTCCCATGTTGTCTCAACAACAACAATCAGTTGAGGGATTTGTGGCACACTGAATGACATTTATTAGGAATAAAAGGACTGGAGATTATATCAGGAAATCCCCCTGAAACACACACACATATGCACATAGAAGATTATCTTGATACTACAAAACATCCTGTATTAGAGTTAAGTACAGGTTTTGCTGGACAGTCAAACAGCATTAACACAGAAGTATAAATAAAAACTCTGAAACACATGTAGAGCAATCAGGTACCATGAAAGTGAATATTCTGTACTAAAATTATGTCATTAGATTACCTAGCACAGCCATTATATTTGTTGTCAAATGTTTTCCTGCTCCTCTCCATTATTTTTGAAAATGTATACAACATGTCATTTTCCAGCACAGATGAGAGCGGTTCAAGTAAATTAGCATTGGCAGACGGTTAACATTCACTGCAGAAATGTAGATGACTTCCACAGCAGTAATTAACACATGCTGACATTTGAATCTTCATTTTGCTAATGATATGCATGGTATTAATTAGGCCTAAGTCATTAACATAACAACCAATGGACAATGTCCTGTGGTAAGAGCAGGGCTGGTTTTCTTTTTATTAACTCTCCTTAAAGCCAAGGGCTCATTAATAAATCCTCACAGCCAGCTCTGCTAACCTTGACAAGTATTGTGAGTCATAGTAATTTAGTAAACTCTGTAGACTGAATTGAAATCTCAGGAATGTGTCAAGAAAGTACGGACACAACTGAAAAAGAAAAGGGAATTGTAACATATTGAAACAAATAAAAGGAAACAAA